GCGCACAAGCAAGGACAGAGGGAGAGGGATAAGTAGACTCCCCAGCTGAGCAGAGAGCCCAACACGGGGCTTGATTCGAGGACCCTGGGTTCATGACCTGAGCCTAAGGCAGATGCTTAACCAAGACTGAGCCACCCAGGTACCCCCAGAATTTCGAGACTCTTAATAAACATTCTTATTCATGATAATATAGTTGTTTGCATTGGTTCAATAAGAATTTGTTCTCTTTACAACAACCGGAAACATTGGTTATATTACCAAGACTTTGACTGTAATGTCACATTTTGACAGGTACATAGACTTAAATGTAACCAGATGGAGGGATACCTGTGTGGTCAGTTGGTCAGGTGTCCTGCTCTGGGTTTTGGCTCAGGTCATGGTGTTGGGGTCACAGGATTGAGCCCAAGTTGGGCTCCATGCTTGGTGTGGAGTCCGCTTGGGATTCTTTCCCCCTCTGCACCTCCTCCTGTTCTCTCTCTCTCTCTCTCTCTCTCTCAAATAAATAAATAAGTAAAATCTTAAACAAAAATAACATGACCAGATGCCTTTAAGGAACTAAGGTTGACTATATGGAGCCAATGCTTATAACACCTCTTGAAACACCAGCCCAATACCTTGCTTACAGGATTCCCAGCCCTACAAGTAAGTAAGCAAGATTACTTCCTGGCAGGCCCAAGAATTTTAAGATCCATTGGGTACCTTGAAAAGAGAGGAATTCACCCAAATCTATGGATGCTACAGGCAAAGTCTGATGGCGAATTCTTGGGTTGATTTCTTAGCCTCAAATGGCTTTTAAAGTTCAATCTAAGATTCCTTATTAAAAGTTCCAACAAAACAAACTTAAAAAGAGCCTATGTGATAAATCACTATTCTTGCTGCACTTATATAAATAATCAGGCCAAGTTTAATGAGACTAAACTTATTTTACAAACAAAAAAGTCTTACTGTAATTATACTTAATAAAAATGGGGAGAGAAAATTACATTTCAGTGAAGAACTGTAACATCCCCTTACAATTAGGATTCTAGCCCTTTTCATTGTCTTTGAGGTTTTGTATTCTAGCTAGAAACTCATCTAGATCCTGAATTCTAATTTCCTCCAGCATATGGCCACAACTTTCCAAACCAAAATTTCCCATTTTCCTCCCACCCTTCTGACTTGAAATCACAAAGAATGAAAACTGTCCTTTTCCTGAACGCCTATACGTGAAAGCTGGATGACCTGATATAAACTTCAGAAAATCACCACAACAGATCATAGATAGACAAACTTCATGTCTACTTGTGTAGGCCACTCAGAAAATTCACTGGAACACCCAGCAAGAGAGACCTTCAAACTGCAAATCAGGAAATCTGTCAAATTATAACTGCCCTCCTTATTCTGCCATATAAAGAAGCTTCTTGCTTAAATTCTAGAAATCTTCTTGGGGTACCTGGGTGGCTCAATCCGTTAAGTATAAGATTCTTGGTTTCAACTCAGGCCATGTTCTCAGGGTCCTAGAATCAAGCCCTGCCTGGGCTCTGCCCTCAGCATGGAGTCTGCTTGAGGATTTCTCTCCCTCTCCTTCTGCCCCTCCCCCCATCAGGTGTGCACACATGAGTGCTCTCTTTCTCTCTCTAAAAATAAATAAATAAATCTTTTAAAAAATCTAGAAATCTCCTCAACTGGCTGTCCTCTGGACTCAGAAATTGTTTCCAACTATTAATATTCATTTTTCTTTGATTTCTATAAAAAATACTCCTCAGTAAATGTCTCATTGGTGAGATCATATGGTGACCTAACTTAGATGAACAACTACCCTCATCTTCATCACCACCTCCTGAACTGAGACACAGCTGTTTAAATGAACAGACCTGTTCCCAAGACTTAAGAGACTAAATCACTGAGAAACAGAATAATCTGCCAACTCAGATTCTGGACTATGAATCTTTTGGGGGAGTTTTCAAAGGGGGAGAACGAAAGGAGTATGCCACTTTGACATAAGGACTATTTTGAGTGAAAGGCACTTAAAAAACAGCAGATGCAAAGAAGGGCATTCAGTTCTCCCCTGTTCTTCCTGAAAACAGGAGATAAACACTCCTGTGTGAAAGATGCCTTCCCTGTACCAGGGGAAAATGAACATTCTTCACTGGGGAATTAAGGCCAAGAGAATCCTGTATAAATAGACCATGTTAAGATAATACTTACCTTCCTATGGCCTCCCCATATAGTTTAGATACTTCTCCCCAATTGCCTTTTTGTTCAACCTAATGTAAAAGCCGGTAGGTTTGCCATATCTTTGGATCTTTCTTTTCTTATGAGAGCTCCCATATCATATAAAACTTATAGGTTTGTATACTTTTCTCCTATTAATCTGTCTTCTATCAGTTTAATTCTCAGGCCTGGCTGAAAAACCCTAAGAAAGTGGAGGTAAAATTTTGCCTCCCCTACATTCTCACTATCTCCTCTATTGATTAAAGGGTCCTGGTGGCTTACAGGTGTTGGGAAGAAGAAAAACAGTATTTGTAGTATTTCTTTAAATACCATCTGTTGTCTGTTTTCCAAGCATCATTGTGGAAAAAAAAGAAACCATCTTTCTGGCCAGTTTCTTTCCTCATCTGATTAGATGGTCATTTTGCCCTTTTTTTGTGGATGGCATTATCCATGTTTAGACCTCATTTTTGGGCAGTAGTAAAATCAGTAGAACCCTGAGACCTGGAAACTATTCTTTTCTTTTTCCTGTCTCCTTTTTTTTTTTTTTTTAATCTTTTTCTTTCTTTATTGGAGATTTACTCCCCTTGTATTTAGATCAGAGCAGAGCTGCTGCAGATGACTAGAAATGGGGATCACTAGATTGTCATCTGTATTCTAACATCACAGCCCATCCAAGGTGAAAGCCATGGACTCTGACTCACCTATTTCCTGCTTTTTGGGTGGTGCTTTTTGAGAACTCTGCATAAAGTCTCTAAGATCAGTACTAGCACGTCTTTGAGCTTCTAGGGAGAAGCCTGCTCTCAGAAATATTTGCAAACAAATTGGGAAATTCTTCCCAAACTGGGAAGAAACTCATGCAGCAAACCACACTTATGTGTAAAAATTTGTCAGCAAATACAAAGGTATGACTCTTTAAGGAAATAAGACTTACATTTGACATAATCTCTAATCTCTTATTCTCCAGGGCAGAGTGCATAGATTAGTTTCTCCATAAACAAAACCGGTTTATTAGAGCAGTCAATTGCAGAGTTGTTTTTTTTTTTCCTCATGAATAAGGCAATGATGGGCTTGAGAATAAGAAAACATAGTGATTAAGAGTCCTGACACCAGAATTGAACTTCTGGGTGTAGAATCCTAGCACCACCACTTATTAAGTGACCTTGGGCTCTGTGCCTCAGTTTCCTAGCAATAAAGTGGAAATAATGGTAATATCTCATTGGGGTTGTTATGAAGCCGAATGCATTAATATTTTATTTATTTTTATTTATTTTTTTCTGTTCAGGAAGCATGTTATTGTTGCTCCAAGTTTAGGAATTTTCACTGACAGAAAATCAACACTTTCAGAAAACTTCCCGCATGGCCCTGCTGGGCTTCTGAATCTTGGTTTTCGCAGATATCAGCGTATCTCTCTCCAATATGGACAATCATTCCACCCATGATTGACGGGTCAGTCTTAACTTACAATTTCAAGATTTGGCCTTTACTTAGGAAGCTCTTCAGGACCGTTTTTAATTCAGTAAGAGTGGCTTCATCTAAAGGAGATGCAGTGGTCACTGTGCACGGTACTTCTCCACGGTGGATGCTCATCATGGTCGAAAAGGCAGAAATGACTCCAGGGGTATTGTCCAAGTGACCATTCTTAGCAAGCAAATTGATCAGGTTGGATGTGAGAGGAGAGAACCTCTCTTTTGCACTCATGTCATTTAGCTTTTCACTTTCACGGAACGCTTTATGTAGGGAATAATGGAAGCAGCCACTTTGGGCTCCTTCAAGATTTGTGCTATGCTCAACAATTCTTTCTCTACTTGTTCCAGTTTATTCTGTTTAGATGCAGCAGAATAAAGAGCAGTGGCATAGTGACCTTCAATGGCATAGCGACCTTCAATATCATATCCCTGAACAGGTGGCCGCATGAGCTTGGAAAACGGCCTGACCACAGTCATACTAAAGCATCACACCTGCTGGGACAACCCAGACACTGCTGGGACGGCCATCTTCTCCGGGGGCTGTAGGTCCGCATTAATATTTTAAAGCACTTAGCACAGTTTCTGACACATGGTAAGCCTTACCTAAATGCTTACCTTTAAAATTGTTAAATCTTGGGGTGCCTGGGTGGCTCAGTCGGTTAATCGTCCAACTGTTGGTTTCTGCTCAGGTCATGATCTCAGGGTGGTGAGATCAAGCCCCCACACTGGGCTCCCCGATCAGCGTGGAGCCTGCTTGAGATTCCAAGCTCCCCGCTCCTCCCCACCCCTACTTGCATGTACGTTCTCTCTCTCTAAAATAAATAAATCAATCTGAAAGAAAAAAAAGAGTGAAAGACTTCCTAGAACTGATAATAATGCCTATCTTCTAGCCAAACACTTTGAAGATACTATTTACAAACCTCACAACAAGGTGGGTATTACGGTCTCCATTTTACAGATAAGGAAGTGGAAAGTTAGGGAATTTAATTAAATTGCCTAAGAGCATATAAGTGAGTAGTGGAGTTGGGAATTCTAACACAGTGTGTCTAATTCCAAAGCATGTGCCCTTCTACTGTGCAGCATTGTTTCTTAAAACTTCTTACCCATCCCCTGCATTTATTTATATCCACTCTATTTTAAAACTGGTCTTCCGAGTCACTATATAATGTGCCCATTGGCTTTCCCAAGACTATGTAATTATTTAATAACTGTTAAATAGCCATCGAATGCTAATGAACATTTGCTGATCAGAGTGATGTACATTGCTTATCACAGTGCCTTTTCACATGGCAAGCAGTCAACCTTAGCTATTTTTATCACCATTCATCTGTTCATTTGTAGGAAACAGAACGCCGCAATGACCACTGGTGCATGTTCGCTCAGACTGGAGATCTCTGAGAAAACTCAAGGTTGCAGGGTTAAAAATAACCCGAAAGGATCAGAGTGAAATGCCCTTGGAACGTGTGTGGTCAGTTCTAAAGTGCGCAGCAGAAGATGTTTTGTAGTTAGGAAGCCAGCTGTAAACAGCACACTGTGCACTCCCCTCTTTGTTTCCTTGTCCTGTAAATTCTGTTTACAGTGCTTGACTAATCCTGTATACATGGAGGAATGTGCCTTGCTACGCCCCTGCTGTAGAAGGTATATAAGAGTATGGAAAATAAACCTCGGCACCTCGGGCTGTTTGCTCGGGGTCCCCTGTGCCTTGCTATACTGTCGTCTCTTCTTCTCAGTTCCTTCACCACCCCAGGTCCCCGACTCTGAAGTTGACATTCATTCATTCCTTTAACAAGCATTTATCAGGCATTTCTTACAAATCAAGCACCTTGGAATAAAAAAATGAACAAGATAGGGTCCCTTTTGAAGCTCACACTAGCTGTCCCATCTGTGAGCCACTAGATATATGTGGCTTATTGAGCCCTTCAAATGTGGCAGTCTGGATTGCAATATGCTAAAAGTTCAAAAAACATACAGGGGGCGCCTGGGTGGCTCAGATGGTTAAGCATCTGCCTTGGGCTCAGGTCATGATCCCGGGGTCCTGGGATTGAGTCCCGTGTCGGGCTCCCTGTGAGCAGGGAGCCCACTTCTCCCTCTGCCTCTCTGTCTCTGAGAATAAATAAAATCTTTAAAAAAAAAATACAGGATTCTGAAGACTTAGTACAAAAAAAATAAGCTAAAACACCTCATTAATAAATTTTATATTGGTTACATGTTGAAATGATAATATTTGGGATGTATTGGGTGAAATAAGATATTATGCAAATTCTTTTCATCTCTTTGTTTTTACACTTTAATGTGGCTAGTAGAAAAGTTAAAATTAATGTGGCTTGTGTTAGGTTTCTATTGAACAGCATTGGTCAAGATGGCGGAAAAGGATGAACACAGTATAATATAAATGCTATGAGAAGAGTCAGCAGAATATTCTATGGGAGCACGGAGGAACAACTGGCTTGGGAATTCAAGAAAGTCTTGACAGAGGAGGTAACATTTGGCTTGAATTCCAAAGGGTGAGTAAGGATTATTGTTAGATGAGTATTTTCCAGGCAGAAGATGAGTATGTAGAATGTCATAAACATGAAAGAGTAACCAACAAGTTGAAATATGATAAATAGCTTGACTTTTCTCAAGTGTGGGATAGAGGGTAGGAGTGCTTGATGAGAAGTAGTAGGAGATGAAGTTGAAAAATCATTTAAAGACATTATGAAAAGCCTTGCATGCTATGCACTATTTATTTATTTATTTGACAGAGACAGAAAGACACACAGTGAGTGAGAGCACACAGCAGGCAGAGGGAGAGGGAGAAGCAGGCTCCCCGCCGAACAGGGAGCCCAAGGCAGGGCTTGATCCCAGGACCCTGGGACCATGACCTGAGCCGAAGGCAGACACTTAACCGACTGAGCCACCCAGGTGCCTCTGCTATTGAAATTTTTGATAAAGAGGACTGATGTTATTTTATTTGAGCTTTAGAAAGGTAACTCTAGTGACCACGTGGAAGTTGGCCTGAAGTAGTTAAAAGACTTGAGATAGGAGCATAGGAAATGAAAATAGATTTTGGTGGTGATAATTTGAGCAATGGTAGTAGGAATTTAGAATAAGACAGGGCCATCTCAGAACTGATGAGACCTGATAACTCATGTCAGGGAAGCAAAGAAAACAGGGATCACGAGAGGCACCCAGTTGTGTTTGTTCAAGGCTATAGAGTGGCATTTCCTTCTGTTCATTCAACAAATACTTAATTGAAACCCTACTTACGTGCCAGATAATAGGTAGTAGTGCTTAATGGGCTCCTGGTGACAATGTCTGAACTTTATGTGGTTATTTTTAAAACATTTGCTAGGGATCAGAAAAGAATAAATTATTAAATTTATATGTATGTATTGCCCCACTAATGAATTTTATTTCTCTGGAACTATATCTTATTCTCAGGGACCTTAAAACGGTCAAAAGTCTTGTGCTAAGGTGAGAGCAAGGGTTTCTCATCAAGCCAGTTAGAGCAGGAATCTGGTCCCTGAGGGGAAAGGTCAACTCACAAGAGTGACAGGTATGAAGTCTGATAATATAAAGTTTAGGAAAGGATGTGAAGAAACGGGAACTCTTTCATTAACTGCTTACAGATTAGTATATTGCATTTTGAAAAAGCAATTGCAGTAAAATTGAAAATGTATATTTCATAGAACTCAGCCTTTGGATTTCTGTGTCCCCGAACAGTGCTTTGTAAAGCAAAGCTCGAGCACCCCAGGTGAGCTTCTAATTACTTGTATTTTTTAATGTATTTATACAGAAGTAAAAAAAAAATAAGCTTTACTAAAATTTAGTATAAGGATCGAAGCTGGTGCCTTCATTTAGTGTGTATCCATGTTATATGGATGCTGACAACTCCCAAATTTAAACATCCAGGCTTATCTTCTCCCCTGAACTTTGTCTACTGAGTATCTTTACTTGGAAATATATGATTATATTGAAAAGCTGGAAAATATATGAATTTTGTAAGTGACAAAATTCAAGCAAATATTCTGTCACTACTATGGGCACAACACAAAAATGAGGACCAGAATGGAAGGGGAAACAGAGTTGAGGCATTGAGACTCAGGCTAGGATCAGCTCCCAGAGAAGAGAGAACAAGGAGGGGTTAACCGCTCATTCACACTGTAAAGGAAAGGAACTATCCCACTCTCTACCTAATCCTGGGAGAGAATACAAACAGTGAGGCATTTCTAAATCCAGGCTCATCTGTAGTAATAAGACAAAATTTCTGTCAGTCAAAAATTACCCTTCCCAGGACTCCTGGGTGGTGCAGTAGGTTAAGCACCAACTCTTGGTTTCAGCTAAGGTCATGATCTTGGGGTTGTGGGATCAAGTCCTGAAAAGGGCTCTCCACTTAGCATGGAGTCTGCTTAAGTCTCTCTCTCCCTCCCCTTCTGCCCGCCCCCCCCCCCCACTGCATGCTCTCTCTCTCTCTCTCTCTCTCTCTCTCTCAAATAAATAAATAAATAAATCTTTAGGGGCACTTGGGTGTCTTAATCAGTTAAGCATCTGACTCTTGATTTTGGCTCAGGTCATGATCTCAGGGTTGTGAGATGGAGCCTGCATCAGGCTCTCACTCAGAGCAAAGTCTGCTTAAGATTCTCTCTCTGCCCTTCCCCCTGCTCACTCAAGCTTTCTCTCTCAAATAAATAAAATCTTTTTTTTTTTTTAATTACCCTTCCCTGGGGCTCCTGGGTGGCTCAGTTGTTAAGCGTCTGCTTTTGGCTCAGGTCACAATCCCGGGGTCCTGGGATCGAGCCCCACATCAGGCTCCCTGCTCGGCAGGAAGCCTGCTTCTCCCTTTCCCACTCCTCCTGCTTATGTTCCCTCTCTTGCTGTCTCTCTCTATCAAATAAATAAATAAAATCTTTAAAAATCAATCAATAAAAAAAATTACCCTTCCCATTTCTTTAAAGTCAAGTGTTTATTGACTAGTAATTACATAAAAAATTATGTGTAGTAAAGTTTGGGCAACAAAGAGGAAACAAATATCCAGTAACCTTGATTTTCATTCTGGTTAACATAATAAGATGCTCTTCATTCTTTTGCTTGACTCACTAACACATAGTTTTCAGTATAGGGTTTGGTGAGCTTTGAGTGGTAAAGACAAGTTCTCCATTACAATAGTTACTAAAAACTATTGACAAGCAGGTTAGAGTTATGTCGGCCAGAAGAACTTGAAAGTTCAAGGCAAAGTTGGAAATGATAAAAAGTGAGAAAAGGGAAGAACCTCATAATTGAAATACAAATGACATATTTCTGTCTTCATCTCTGAAAGGAGAAGTGGCAATTCATGTTACATAGGCCTTCAAACATAGAATGATAAGGAAAAGCACCAGGAAGCATACAGCTTAAAGAAAAGTTAGTTTTATTAGGAGGGAAAGAATCAAGTTCTTTTCTTTCAATACAGTAAAAACCTGGTAGAGGCTAGATTTTAGAGTCATTATTTATAGGTATTGTGCCCTAATATTTGCAGAATACAGTCACAACTTTTATTTAATAAAAACATCCAGGGGCCTAATGGAATCTCACTTTTAAAACTGGTTCATATTATTCGAAAAAGTAAAAGGGATGCTAAGGTATCAGAAATTGGTTTTATTGTATAAAGCAAGTGTGATGTTACTGGAGGTACTGCTGGGAAGGCTGGCTACCCCAGGAAGGCTAATGGGCTGGAACAACAATGTGGGTAAAGGGGTGGAGGTGGGTAGGAAGTGGAGAAGGAATCTACCAGATTGTAGGGTCTGAATTTAAGATTTGCTAGTCCAGAAAGTATATTTTGGACCTTGGGATGAGCAGTGCTCAGTGAGAGATTCCTAACTAAATTTTCTGAGGTGGTTGCAATTGGCCTGGATGCCGGTAGATTGATTTATAATTAGGGGATATATCTTTCTAGTGACAGTATACTCATTTGTCCTCTTCAGTGCTTTCCTTTTCCCAAGACCACAGGCCCCTTTAGGCTGAATTGGCAATTCAAAATTGTTGGGTAAGCAGGGAATTCTAGCCAAAGGACCCAGACCTGAGACATACTTTAGCCAGCTCAAGCCTGGGGAAATATTCCTGATTAACAGAAGAACATTTTTCTTGTGTTAGCCACTCTGTCAGATTTTGCTTTCCTGAACCTACTTATACTTTTGGAATAATTTTAGATAATACTAAAAAGTTGCAAGGTTAGTATTGAGGGTTACCTTCATCCAGTTCCCCTTAATGTTAACATCTTACCTCGTTATGGTACGATAACTAATTTCTTAGCCAAAACTAAGAAATTAGTTTTGCTTCTCCCTCTCCCTCTCCCCTTGCTTGTGTTCCTGCTCTCGCTATCTCTGTCTCTGTCAAATAAATAAATAAAATCTTTCAAAAAAAATAAAATAACAAAAAATAAAATACTAGTT